AAACTTTATGCATAGAAACTCATGTGTGGATTAAATGCCGTAGGCATTTTCTATCAGTCTGACCCTTGGGTAATGCAGAGAAGAGTAACCAGCGGGTGCAAAGAGCATGCAATGCATTAAACTATAGATAAAAACACGAATATGACACGAATACTTTGTACTGAAGGCCTCATTGCACACAAACTATAGATTTAGATTTTATTTCATCAGGTTTAAGCGGCAGTGCTTAAATGGATATTGCTACTTTTTAAAAGGTTTGTGTAACGTTACTTTATTTCTTACCATTTTACAACACATTTGTGAAACGGGTAAATATAGGTTTGAAGGCACTAGAGGAATTTGCAAGCGTATATTCCAATATCTCTGCGCTGAAATTAATACGTTCTCGTTGGGATGTTTTAGATAACTGTTCATCAATAAAGAGACCGCATACATGGGATACAAATTCCTGTTTCGGTATAGATCTAGTCTGGTTAATGAATATTTGAGGTTAGACATTTAAGAGGTAGGTTAGGTTATAAATAATCCAACTAAGAATTTTTATATTAAAATATATCCTGCATCCTGCTGAAGGACTGCCTCGTTGGCCGAGTGGTCGCAAGTGACTGCTGGGCACGTAGTCTCATGTTCAATTGCCGGGTCGAGCAAAGTATTACTGTTTTTTTTTAGTTCTCAGTAGTAGCACGTAGTCTGGAATTGTGCCCAGTATATGGCAATAGGCTCACCCCCTATTACATTGGGACTCATAACATAAATAGCCAATGGTGGGTGCACCTCTGCCTATCTTTACGGGGTCAAAAGGCGTGATGCTAAATAAAAATAGTAAGATTTCTTATAACAATAAGAAATCTTACTATTTTTATTTCATAAATGTGACAATTTCCAAGGATAATGTCTGTTCTCTTTCACGGAACAAATTCGAACGAAATTAGTTTCGAATAATATATAGGCCTCTTTTTAATGGGCGACGCCTCTGAGAAAAGGTAGTATGTGCTTGTACACAAGTTCTATTTTTAAACCTAATTACAGATATCTATTTAAATACTTGGATAAACTCCAATTATACTTAAAGACACGGTTACTTTTGTATCTATAATAAAATTTTCCTTCTCTCTTTATTTATTATCCAATTCATTTACTTGTATTAAATATAGACACAGACTAGTTAGTAAGTTATTTTCAGTAACACAAAATAAGAATCTAAATAAAACAATCAGATACAAGACGTTAATTAAAGGTCAACGTTGTAAATATGGACAAGATCAAAAGCGTTTGTGTGCCAAACTTAAATAAAACTTAGTAAATAATAGAATTAAAAATGTCAGGTAACAAGACAGGAATGTAGTATTTGATTTCGCGAAAACATTCTTAATGAAGGGAAGAGGCATTCTATTCAAATAAATTACAAAGAAAAATGATCCCGAAATTACGACCTCTACGGCATTTAGAGAAATTCGATTAGCCAACGGGAAGTAAATAAATATAATACAGCAAAACAATATTTTTTTTTATATGGGAATAGAATATTCTATACATACATACATAACTTCAGGTCTGTCTCCCATGCGAGGCAGAGACTATGGAACGCCAATTGTTACGATTCTTACATATCTATTTCTATGTGTATAAATAAAAAAAACAATTGCTGTCAGACGCTGATGGAACATTCCTAAAGGATATGCAAGAGTACCCGGATTCCGGCGATAACGGACGTATGTGTGAAAAGGGATACCGAGTAGATTTTTAACCAGTAAGAGAGTCTTCTGTTAGATTTTCGGACGAATAATCATTTACATTTGTGATGGCGACCACAATATGGTGATACCATAACGTTATTGTGATTTAGGAGAAAATTTTAAATTAGAACAATGTAATAAAATAATTGATACGATAAGTGAAACCGACATTACACCACGACAATTATTTTCGATAAATATTTTCCACATTCAAGAATAGTTGATCACAGTTTACTTATTTTTTGTTGTACGCCATCATCAGGACTCAGGAGATGGTTTGTTCGAAATATTCTTATGAAAAATCTAGCAAGATAGTCGGAAAACTGCAGCTATTTGAAACCGGGGCAAGTGACCAATACACAAAGTAATTCATGTAAAGACAAAACTCCTTTAGTTACTACAAAATGAGTAAAAGATATAGGTAAGTATTTAGTGTTCAAAGACATTTCTGACGACAGACTTCAAGAATGCTATAGGTATAGAGGTATATAAAATTATTGAATAAAATATTTGATGAGGACATTCTTCTGTTCAGTAAGTATACGATTTCATTATTCATGTAATAAAGACTTTTATGAGAGTCAACGAAGTGACAATATAAGACATAAACAGTTTTGAGGCGTGAATGAATTAAATTATTCGAGTGTTAACATTATGTTTATTGTTTAGTATAATAAGTAGCCTATTGTTTACAGCTGTCACTAGTTTTAAATAAAATAAATGAAAGAAAAGTGAATCTAACATAACATCACGCCTTTTATCCCCGAAGGAGTAGGCAGAGGTGTAGTACAGTACAGTGTAACACCCATTTTTCACTATTTATGTTATGAGTCCCATATATAGGGGGTGAGACTATTGCCATATACTGGGCACAATTCCAGACTCCGTTCTACTACTGAGAATTTATAAAAACCCAATAATACTTTGCCCCACCCGGGCACCGAACCCGAGACCCCTACCCAGCAGTGAAATTACAATAAATGTAGCTTTAGATCTTGATCTACCTATAACTTAATAGGAGTTTTTAAAACTTCCTTCCTATTATTTCGTCCTTCCTATTCCTTCCAATTATTCTTAGCTTTAACTTCCTTCCTTCCTTATTAAAGAATAATCCTGGATAACTAGATAAGAATTACTTCAAAGCAATGTTATTACTTTCATTATATTATTATTATTATTTCTTGCTAAATGTTTTGCATAGCAATATAAAGGCAGGTCTACGCTAGTCGAACCGAGCACGAGCGTAGCACAAGCGGAGCCGTTCTCGACTTCGTCGTTCGCGGCGTCAAGTGTGGACATACAACGGACTTACAACGATCACTGTCCTTGTACATAGTTTTCTGTAGTGAGTGCTGCGAGCACGAAGCAGATCTGTTTGTGTTCGTCAAAATATCGACAACAAACAAAATGTGAGCATTTTGTTCGTTGTCTTACTGTGAGCAGCGTGCTTGTTTGAGACTTGTAAGTCGGTCCACACTAGACGAATTGTTTTCGGTTCGTGCTCGGCTTCTGCTCGGCTTGTGCTCGGCTCTCCTAGCGTAGTCGCAGCAAACCATTCTAAATCAACATTTCGAAATCGATAATCAATACAAACCGTATAACGCAGTACGTAGGTGCTATCAGTAAGCCAGTAATTTAACCTCGAATTCTCTCAAGCTCGGTCAATTTCAGAGTTCAGTTATCTGTAGCTACGTTTGGGAACAAACGCCGTTTAGATGATTCCAATAATTGCTTGAGCCTCGTAACAAATAAGATCGATTAACGTCCATTTTATGAGTTTCAGCCTGTAATTCAGTATACTACGCACTGAAATATAACGCGAAAATGGTTTTCTCTTTCGGTTTACTGGTTTCTATTACTTTCTTTTTAGGTACGTAGACAATATACGTGTTTTTGTAGATACATAAACTGTGTTATTTAGCGTAAAATATATTTCATCTTTATGAAATGTTGTTGTTAGTTCAATAGAGGCCTGCGTAAGAATGGAGATGAAGGAGGCTTAGTAACAAACTTCGAAAACAAATGGATGATAATAGTTATATAAATTGTCACTAAATTGATACACTATCCACTTTGATATCACATTTTGATCTGAGGTGTTTTGAAGCTCACCAGAAATTTAATAAGAACTAATGAGACGTCGTTGCTACAGGAGCGCTCTATTAAAGATTTGGTTTCTGATTCCGAAATATTGTAATACTTTGTTGTGGTTGAAAATCCTCACAAAAACTGAAAAAACAATTTCGTATAGCACTTTCCAGTACCCTATTGTCACAAAACCAAAAGTCGATATTTTCGGTAAACCGTGCCGTCATATGGGCAGATATTGCGGCCAAAATCAGTGAAGCTCGGGTGAATCGAAATATACCAACGAATATATGGACTGACAAGGTGGCCAGTATTTTTGTGCCACAAAACGACGTATACAGGAACAAAATGCTGGTAAAGGAAATTAAAGCTATCTCAATGCTTTTAGTAGATAATCTCTAAAGAAACAATTTCTGCGGGTACCGGGACCGTATGAGCAAAAAATAGCTCGCACAAAATAGAAATCTACAATTAATTACATTTTAAAAGAGGCAGTACAGAAAATCATTAAAAAGTTACAAAGATTTATTGATTGTGTGCGAACTAAAGAAGGTCGAATCGTTACAAATACACGTAAATGTTTACATTGAACATCAAATTAATCTAATGCTGCTTTGTTTTTTGAATGTAATGTATGAGTACTTACATAGTCTTCAAATACCTATACTACGTCGTTTTCTGAGATTAAAGGGTTGTTCAGCAAAACATTCAAGTCGAAGCAACGAAACATAAATCCTTTTATGATTCGGTATAAAGTAGGGCTTACTTTCGTATAATTTTAGACTCCCCTTTTCGCTTTCAAAACTTATTACAAACACACGAAACTCGGCTGAAGTTTTAATCACTGGAAACACGTGGAATTATACAATATTATCAGATAGGTTAATTGATCTGTTTTGTGACTTTACCTGTTATACTGTACCGGTACATGGCATTTAAGCCATACATGGTATGGCAAATATTTTTTGTTTCTGTATAATCAAATTGAAATTTGTAGTTTAGTAGTGCAAATACAGATACCAGAGGTACCTACGTATTTCATTACTTTTAATTATCATTTGATATTTAACTTCTACACTATAAAGGACACATTATTCTAATCAGCGAAGCCAAGAAGGAAGGGAGCAAAATAGAGAGAGGCATAGATAAAAATATGTATCAGTGTTGTCAATTTTAAATGTAACTTAAATTTGTATATATTACTAACAGTATCGTACCTGATATATTTAAAGAAATGATATTTTCAATAAAAAGTATGTAGTTAGATAATCGATTGCACGACCACATCACATTGAAGCACAGTTCACAACAACAATATGACCGCAAGTCCATTTTCAACCTTGTTCATTTAGCTTTTTGGTTCGAACCAATAAATCTAAAGAGATACAAAGGGATATATACAAAGCATACACGTGCAACATTTTAGCAACTGGCGATTGTTGTGCAACGGACCGTTGGAGATTTCTACGAGTATCAATCATTGTTAAGCATGTTGTTTCAGCTTTGTATTGGTTATGTGAATGATGTCTTTTTGCATTTAAATTTGTTTTTATTGTGGCAAACATAGGTACATAATTGCGATACAGTACCTGTACCTTTACAAGATTTGTTATTTTTTCTGGTCTAACGGTATACAATAAAAAGCGACTCAGAACACGTTGTGTTCATCTATTCCTGAATTTGGGTCTCGTCTCCAATTTAATATTCTGCACACGTAACTAGTGAGAAATATTGCAGGTGCATCTTGGCTTGGTGGATGCGTGTTCATAGAGATAGTTGTGTCGTAAAAACATCCAAACTATCAATCGATAGTTTGTATAGACTTCAATTGACAACTAATTCATTTTACACCAGCTTTCGCCAGCGTTCCCGGGGAATGAAAAGTAGCTTATGTTTTATTCTAGACCACAATCGGGATAGATTGTGGTCTAGATTCTAAATTTTATTCCGATTCCTTCAGACGTAACAACATGTTTGAGTAACAAATAAAAAATTAATTTGTTAGTTTGTAACTCACAAATCTATTATATAAAAATGAAACCCATTTCCCGTTGTCACGCCATAACTTGAGAACGGCTAGACCCATTTGGCTGCTTTTTTGTTGTGGTTTTTATCGTCAGGAGAAGGTTCTTATGATAGAAAAATGTCCTGAAAATCCTACGGGAGTGGGAGAAACGGAATTGCGCGTACGAAGTCGCGGGCAGAAGCTGTAAGATTTATAATATCTATTAATACCTAAGATCTGCATCGTTAAACGAAGGCTCATTATTAAATTATTATTCTTATTTATTACTTTATGAAATATCGATATCAAGATTCTGAACAGTATTTGTCTTTAATTTTTTACAAACACTTCAAGTCCACTGAACGTCAATTTTACAACATGGGCAATATACTATAAGACCTCTTCACATACACAAAGGGAATTTAGGATGCATTAAAGTACTTGAAAGTCTAGCTTGTTTCTTAGGCACATGCATATGTATCTACAACTATGCTTGTGTATATAATATTACTTTTTGGATGATGTGGTATTTACATAATCGTGTTTCATAAAAATGACGTATTGTCAAATAAAAAGAATGATCTAGAAAACTCGTTACAGTTTGCTGAGAAAAATAAATGATAGTTATACTCTGAAAAAAATGTGGATACATAAATAAAATGTGTTGGATGAACTTGTAAACGTTGTATAGTACTATGTTAGTATTATCATAGTAGTTTTATATCGATAGGTGACAAGCCTGGAAGATGTTTACAATATTCATTATAGTTGTGCTTTCCCAAAGAAAATTGAATATTTGATTTAAAATTTTCCGTAGCTAAATAGGTACCTATAACGTTCGTTAAAATAACTACAACACGATTATTTTAACGAACAGTTATTTTAGTGGACAGTTCACATCAAAACGTATTCACGTATTCATTGACCCTTTGACTGCCGATAGAAAACTGTCTCAAAAGCCACCGGTCAATTTTACGGCCTATGGCGTTTAACGTATTAACTACTAGGGGAAAACCAGCAAACTGAACCTACCTCTATATTTGTAGTTTTACTTTTTTTAAGAATTTACTTTTAAAAAAAATTAAGACTGTTATACGCCACCTGCGGTAAAATCTCTAACATGTGGCATTCCATTCTTCCCATTGAGTCGCCGAACATTATCACCGCCGTTGTTAGCATCGTATTCGTTGATGTGAGCTCCATGCCTTCGTGCCATCTTGTCAATCGCACGCTCGATAACCCTGCGAAATTATTTAAAAATTCCCCTTATAAATTCTTTAATTATTGTGCTGATAGAAAATGTTGGTTAAATTGGAAATTAATGTAACATCGTGTTGACACAGATTATCGAAGTCTACATCACATGCATTAAATTTCCGACTTTTTTATTTGCAAGGCATCTGAAAACGTAATCTACTTTCATACTAAATTCGATATAAACGACGTACTAGTCTAGCCAACAGGAAGAATGTTCCGATAAACTAAGGACAGAATATTTGTGATCTCAGTAGAACGGTACCGAAATGACAAGACCTCTAGGTTTATGGATCCGTCGTAAAAAGCCATTGTAAGGCCTAACCTTAGCTTAAGGCATTGGCTGCCAATAAAAAACTATTGAAGGCAAATCCTCCGCTAATGTCGGTCACCAGTGACTGCCATGGCGTTTAACGTGTTAATCTAGGCTAGGGGTATGAGTTACTGTTATCAAATCATCTAATGACTTCTCCCGCCCGGGTAAGGCGAGAGTCAGATTCTTACTACTAAAAACCACCCCGTTCCTACTCCTGGACTTCGAGCCGGAACCCCGGCAATCTGTTAAGTCTTCCGCGGCTCCGTATCGGCATCAGCCCTGTTGGACCCCATCTGTGGTGGTCTGATGGCTCCTTGAGGCGCGCGCGGAACGCGACATCGAAGCAATATTTAAATAAAGAACTGTTTATTTAAAAAAAAAAAATCATTCGAATTAAACATCTTGGTCATCATGTAGGGTAAGTTTACCTGTTAGCTACCCTCTAAAGTTTACCTGTTCTCTTTTACCCACTAGTTCACCTAATGTACTTGGTATGCTAATGTAATGGTAATTACCATGAATGTACGATACTGAAAATGTATAAGATCAAACAGATGTGTACTAATTATTGTGTAGAATTTTTAAAGGGCGTTCCGAATCATCGACGCGTACTCTATCAACCACAAATGTCCACTGCTCAACGTGGGCCTACCCCAATAGCTTCTAGATAGGCCGGTTGGAAGCGGTACGAATAATAAAAAAGTTTAAGCTACTCACAGTATGCCGTCGTCTTCTCTCATGTCTTTTGAAGAGAAATAGACGAAGGTCCCATTTCCTGGCCAGTCAGTGATGGGTTGTGGCTCAAAATTGGCAACGGTACCATACTCTTCAGCTAACCTTGCCAATATGTACCTCGCCATCCATAGATCATCGGCTGATTTGATGCCGGGACTCGGACCAACCTATTAATCACCATTAAATAAATAATTCATACAAACCAATGCATTTTACACCATAAACCCACCATTCATACATATATACTACACATACTAAGCAAGTTTCATAAAATGAATTAGAAAAAATGGATTCTTTGTAACTTGGAATTTTTGTCACGTATTTCATGTACGCTGAATATTGGAGTTCCCTTAATTCGCCTTCGAATACTTCCAGATTCAGAATAATGCCAGTAACGCGGTGTTATTAAACGCAAATGGAAAATTATTTTAATGTAAATTATAACATAGCAATAAGGAAGTAAGTGATAACAATAAGATGTAAATATTACATATCTACTTTTTTAAAACGAACGTAAAATTGTTTAGTAAAATCAATACACAAACAATCAACAATTCTATTATTGTGATAGCGTAATATCTTGTACAAACTGGGCGCACGTGACGTAAGCGAAACAAAGAGGTTTGAACACCGAGCGTCCGCAATCCCAGTTTTGATATATTGATATACTTATGGCTGTCCTGGGAGTTTGTTTAGCAAAGATGTTCAGTTACGTTCGCGACGACGTGGGAGGTCAGATGCAGAAAACAAAGAACGATTTCGGAAATGGGCACACAAACCCGATAACCAGACAGCTATTATATTCAAAGAATTTTGTTTACTTGCTTGCAATTCTCAAAATCTATTTATTTAAACAAAGAAAACAAGTTCATTACTCGAATGAACTTGGTTATACTCTAAAATTAGAATTTTTTACGGAATGACCTTTACCAAAGTTCATATTTGTTTCTTTTATTTAACTTTCAGGTAAAATAACTAGCAAAGGACAACAAACAAAGACCTCAAAATTAACACGGCTACAAATTAAAAACACGTGTTTTCATTTGGTGCGCAGCTAATTGTACAAAAAATATATATCGTTGATATTTTACTGAAGTTTACTGAACATTTTAAATCAAAAGAGCTGGCCATCCGATCAGAGTGACGCCATGGTACCATACACGTTGATTGAAAAAAATTGGTAGGTAAATATCGTGGAATATTTCCAGAGATAGAGAAAGATTTTGCTTTTAAAACAGTTACATATTTTGAACATTCATTAATGCGACCAAAACAGAAAGATGCATTAGGGTACCATTAGGTGAGTTTTACCTGGAAATTCCACTGAGACGGCGTTGATCCTGGATATACACCGTTAATCTGTACACCCGCATAAAGACAGCATCTAAAAAGAAAGACAACAAAATGATACCAGTTTCTTTAGAATAAAACACATTCAGCTCATCTACTAGACTAGAATCTTATAAGGTATCTCTTTAGCCTGTAAATGGATTTTTCTGCGGTGTCTATGCCAATACATAAAATAGAAGCTGAAGAATCTTCTTAAGGAAAATCCTAAGTCTCAGTACGTACCTACTCACAATCTCATTTTTCTCATAGAATACTGTCGCTACGTCCAAAGACGTATACATACGCCAAAGATGTTGATTTCAGTAGACATTCTCTGTAGCTAACGTTATAATTATTAGAAAATGTATGGTTTCAATTAGGTTATAAACTGCTTAACCAGACTAATTTACTCAAAGAACTTAAATTATGTCAGAGCAAAAAAATACTGTTACTTTAGAACCTCGGTTTATGGGGGTCATTGAAGGAGACCCCTGCAAGTGAAGACATGCTAACTCGAATTATTAAACAGTAACTAATATAATGAGCAATATCAAAACATGAACAGAGTACCTATAAAAAGCCTCCATGAGTTCTCTAGCTACGATTTTGTTGGCTCCTATAGCGCAGTAGTATGGTCCAGGAGGGGCGGGGAAGCCACCAGGGGGCCAGCCCAGTGGCCTGCCATCTGTTGAAGTGAGAAAGAACTCCTGGTTGAAGCCAAACCACGGCTCTTCAACTTCACCCTTTTCGCACAAAATCAAGCAAGCTTTCCTGAAGTTTGTGCCTGTAGAAAAGTTTGTTGTTACTACACAATCTCTCTCGGAAATAAACGTGTTGCTTCGTACAAGATTCAAGATCTTGAAATTGCTTGCATTTTCTTCGTACTCTTAGATAAATAATACTTTTATCCTGTTCAGTCTAATTTAAAATTTATTAGTAATGCCTACCAAATTACGGTACCAGAGTTGCCGTAGGTAGAACTAATTAATATTTTTTTATGGGACAAGCCCGTCACAACCTCCCAAAACCGCTGCAATTCCTGTAAGCCTGAATCTACAGTAGATACAACCATGAAAACACCTAACTAATATAACAAAATCTTTTGCAAATGAATTTATTTTAATCTAGTTGATCCGGCAGACTTTGTACCGCACAAAAAAATATTTCCACTCCTCTGGACATCCACGAACATTTCAAGCCCAAAATTAGCCAAAGCAGTTCAGTCATTCCCAAGTTTCCCGAGTTTTAGCGAGACTAAAGGAAATTCATTTGTATTTATCTATACAAATCTATATTTGATATAAAAATATTGCGAAAATCATAGTGTCAATAGTATTCTTTTTCATTCAAAATAAACTGAGTAAACAAAAAATTCTCAACAAGCCAGTAAAATGTATAATACAAAGATCATAAAAACATGGTTCGAGTAAATAGGAGCAGCTACCGACAATCAAGTGCGATAAATGTGAGAAAATTTTTCTCGCCAGTACATTGGCTTTCCGGGCACGAGTCCAGACTCCCACTGAGAAATTTCATTAGCTCGACACTGTATCGACTGACTAATAACTACGATTTCTAGAAACTTATCGAGTATCAGCACACACTTATCTAGCAAGATGAAATCGTAGTTTCTTTCAACTTTTACTACTACACTCTACAAAATAATAAGTTTAGCTTACTTAGAGAATCTTTTAAAAGTACCAGCTCACGCTAAGTCTACGACTTTACAAAACATTTTGATTGAAAAGCAAAATAATTCATTAACAAACCTCATTAACTGGTTATACTACGAGTAAAAGTTTTCGCAGCCAACAAACAAATGTTCTGATTTAATCTAAATTATATAACAGTGAATCAGAATTGAGTTTCGCTTTGTGCTTTGATTTGAACGGATAAATTCTTTGTTTTTGCCTAATAAGATTTGTCAAATAATGGCGACAATTTTCGAGAACCATTACGATTAATTAAGCTTGTGTTTCGTAGAAGACAAGTCGTTACTGTTAGAACTGTTTCGTGTTTTAGATTCCCTGTAGACTAATTCGTTTGGTTGACGATCAAACTCCACAGATGCGCATAATTATTCCTTTAAGTCGTCGATAAAAATAGGACTTAAATTGAATAATCACAGTTGTAAAAATGTAGGTAAAATGTAATAGGCGCTTATGTTTTAAAAAATAGACCTAATTACAAGGTAAAGTGGATTCTTTTCACAAAATAATAAATAGCTCTAATTGCATGATAATGTTCTCGATGTAGGTATGACAATAGGCTCTCTCCGGTTGTTTTGTAGCATACTTAATTCGTAACGCTCATGAAAGTAGGTATTATGTGCTGCCTACTCCTACAAAAGATATAATACTCTATTGCGCATAACATTATTTATTTATTTATTTATTTATTTAATGCACTAACAACTAACATTACAGATACATTCCAATACGATAGTGTAGCCATCAGTATTACAACATCTTTTAGTACTTACTTATTACCTAATTATAATTAAATTAAAACTTAACACTTATACATACCTATATACTAATACAATAAAGTTTCCCATACAAATTTAATATCTTATATGAAACACTTAAAATTATATACTCACAATTAATCATAAACGATATTCTACTTAACACCTATTCAGTATCTACTTACTAACATAAACTATTATTAAAATAACAAACAAAGAAATAACTTTGAGACTTTTTTTAGAGAGTAAACAATTTTGAGATCGGAAACTCTATTGCAACGTATTATTATATGCACTTATATTTAATAATACTCTCACTAGATCACTCGTATTGCACGAAAATATGTCAATGCGGCTATGAACCTCATTTACCGTGCAAATGGCTCGCGTGAGCGGGGTCTTGGCCAGAAGATTGGTCCTGGCCACAGGTACAGCGAGCAGCGGCGGACGATGTCGCCTCCATATGTATCGGTCTGGCACACACAGCTGCAGGTGGCGCAGCACTCCCGGGTTATGTGCCACACCTCGTAATAACTTTACCACGTAAGCAGCTAACATAAATTCTCTGCGCACTCTCAGCTCGCTATACCCCACCATGCCCAGCACAAACAATGTCGGGTACATTAAAGGGTAAAAAGGGTACACGCCATACAGTTTGAAGTACAAGTGCCTTGTGAACTTGTTCTGAACTCGCTCTAGCATGACACTGTACTTCGTTTCATGTGGAGCCCAGATTACCGCACTATGTTCAAGGTGACTTCTGACTAAAGCATCATAAAGTACCTTTAGCGTTGATATCCTATTGAACCCCTGTGTCTGCCTCAGTACAAACCCCAAGTTCCTATACGCCTTTTTACACACCTTAATAATATGTTCCCGAAAGGTTAAGTCTGGTGTCATTACGACTCCGAGATCTCGAACCTGAGCAGCCCGCTTCATTGGTACAGACTCCACCGTGTACTCATATTGTGTTGGTGTTTTTGCACGAGTAAATGTCATCATGGAGCATTTGTCCACATTGAAATGCAGTCTATTTCTCTGGCTCCAATCTACTACTCTTTGTATATCTTCTTGAAGACGTTCAGAATCTGATACATCTTTAATTTCCAGCAGCAACTTGAGGTCATCAGCAAACAACAAACAAAGAGCATGCTTGACTACCTCTGGCAAATCGTTGATCATTATAATGAATGCCAATGGCCCCAAGTTGCTACCTTGACTTACTCCGGACCTAGCGAAATATGGTTCAGACTCGGAACCCCTATAGTCAACATACTGCTGCCTGTTCTTCATATAACTGGCGAAGAAGTTTAACAGCAAGAAGTTTATATTGCACATGTTATATAGACAGACATAAATTACGAAAAAGCTATTAACTTTTAGGTTAGTGTAATAAAAATCATTTGTCAGAATTTTCACGTTAAATTGAACAGTGAGTAAAGTAACATCAAGTTACATTTATTTTAAATTCATACTCATTTAAATAGAGTTGACAGGACAAATGTATACTGTATAAAATGAGCATAAAACGCATGATTTATTGTTGAATTTGGGTGAATTAATTACTATTATGCTATCCAAATGTTAGTACCAAAATGGAACTCTAGTTAATTATTCGCTCTAACACTGACAAAACAACAAAATTTACTTCTATGTCACGTCGTCAGGTGAATACTAAATAATGTTCACAACATCGTTTTTGCAATAGAAAATTCATATGACTTTCATCGACGTAATATACGTACAGATCCTGTTACTCGTTGCAGAGCGACAAATCAATCGACCGACATAAAATCACGTGAACCACGACGCTTGCAGTGAAATCGAGTTATCAAATAGGCAATTTAAGTGGATTCCATGATATATCTACTGCAATACCTAGCTGCAATAAGACTGTTGGTAACACTCAAAGATCAACATGCACCAACAACTCATCACTGTTAACCAAAGGCCTCTTCTTACACGGAAAAGGAATGAGCTTCAATTACCACGCTTGTTCTTGGCGATTTCAAACTTATAAAGCACAGGTTTCTTCACGATAATATTTTCCTTCTCCGTATGTCACTGGTGTCTAAATAAAAGAAAAGTGCATACCTTTAACACGGAATAGATCACATTGATATTTGGCAAGTTTCAAACCAGCTTCCTCATGTATAAAAATCGGAAACCACCACGACACTTCAATAAATTCTAATTCAAAGACCACATATTAGTACTGAATGCCGACAAAATGTTCCCGCAATGCTTTTAATGGCTGCCTTTACTTACTCTAAAACGATTCTCAGCTACTTGTGTTGAATTAATAATTTCTTAGAAAATAAATACGTTTCTTTCGTTTCACTTAGCGTTTGCAGTTTCAAGTATTTCTTTTAATTTAATATATAAATGATATGTTTTATAAGAATAAACTTGTTTTGACTTTACTCTTCGTAGCAATATCAAAGAAAACATTTAAAGGTTGTTTAAATCTACTACTGTACAGGTAATTTACTGAACAAAGAAACATTTTCTGAACTAAAATGAGATAGATATAATCAAAAATAAATTAGTCTGAATGTTATTTTGCATACATTTTTGTAGATTTTCTTTGTGTTGTCCACAACTCTTTCGGAGTATACGACCTTTGTTATTACAGTTTGGGTTAAAGCAAAATAATTGACGAACAAAGGAAATAAATGACGTATATCAACGAAGAATATAATTTACCAGATTTTCTATAATCAAGCATGAAATCGGTCAATGATCTTTTCTTTTCCCTTCCCATTGATCAATATTAAATATCTTATTTAGGTTAATAACTTCGAAATTGAACGTTCAACCCTTTAATGTTTTCCTGGCTTTATATTTCTCTTCTAATCATTGAACCAACCTATAGAGACACATAGTAGCTTACAGAAGACAAATAGCAAACGCTACACATAAACTACTGAGTCAATCCTGGTTCAGGAAATTTAGTATCAACCTTATCAAGAAAACTACTTCATTTTGACTAGACTAGATGAACAGAAAATCAGAAAATTGGTGGTGACGCCACAAACTTGCAACTACCGAGAAAGAGGCGATGAGTTTAATTACCGGACCGGAGAAATTATTTTTAGCCTACGATTAATAAGATTCTTGGAGATGGATTCTCAGTAACAGCATGGAAAAGCGTACAATTTATGTTTTTATATAACTAAAACCGTCGATAGTATTCTAATTTTCATTGCTTTTTCTGTAAAACTAAACAATTCCTTTCAATTAAATTTCCAATTCGATTTTCGTTCGTCACACGTTGATGTGGTCACACCCGGAACCACAAAATTACGACAACACTAATAGTATTCCGTGCGGGATCGGACCCACGCTAACCCCTACTACGGTACCCATGCATTCGAATTATCTTTGTCTAATATATCTATGTAACAAATAAATTATAGAAACATACCTGTCGGTTGATAATTGAACGAATAGGTGTCCGTCAGCACCAATATATTACTTCCTCGTCTAAAAGGATCATGATAAATAACTTGGGGAAATATGTACGTGTCCGAATTCTCATCTTTAGCTTGATCTGTGTTACCACCATCAAAGTACCAGATCGGCAAATCTGTAACAGAAACAATAGAATGAAACCGTGTGATTAACAAGATTTACACATTCCGAAACTTTGAACACATCAATAAGATCTGTGATCCAAATAGATTAATGACTTCTGTTCCAACGTTAATGTATTGATGGCATTCCGATCAGAATTGCTACGATTAGACAATTAACAATCGAAACGGTTATGACGCGAATCAAATTAGTTTTCTTCCATCTTTTAAGAAACATTGCCCAACTCTAGGATTTCCCCTGTGTATACATATTATGACGATCAGACTCAAAACAACATTTTGTGAATAACATTATGAACCTGCTACACGTCACGCGGCAACCCGTTACCCAGCCAACTGCGCCAACCGTGCAGCCATTGTTATACAATCTTTGTAGATAATAATTATTTAAAAGTATCTATGACTTTTTGTATTTCTATCTAACCAAAATCAAAAAAATATTTGACACTAGCTGAACCGGTAAACTTCCTACTGACTGCCAATTTTTTTCCTCACCTTATGAACCAACCTTCTCTGGATTTTCACGAACATTTCAAGACCAAAATTAGTCAAATCGGTTCAGCTGATCTCGAAATTAGGCGAGACTAACGAAGGAACATTAATTTTATTTATTTAGATAGATGATGTGTGAATAATAAATAGTGTAGAATAGATACTTTAATGTTCTTTATTTTATTCTTTTAATTTAATCTCATGTCGCTTATCCCAGAACAACATATGTTTCTACGTCAACTGAGAATTAAACAAAGCAAAGTACATCCTAAAATTAGTACTTTGTTACCGACTTGGGAATATAACCCATTACGTTTCTGACAATTAAATCTCTTGCAAGTACTCCCAAGGGAAGAGGAAAACCTTTTTCAAAGGAATTTCTTTTACATAATATTTATGCTAATAATAAAACTTTGTTTAACAATATTATTTGTTCATGCGGAATATAAAATATCACGCGTTTTTATCTTTGTAATACATAATAATTTGTCCAAAACTTGTTACGTAAAAGCATGTCAACTATGAACTAAATATTGTTACAGTTCCGTACAAACATTTCACTTTTATCATGCCGCGTGACGAGAGATATAAAATTTAGAAATGTCAAGTGTGTCTGCCGCCATCAAAATTCGGTGTTTCATGAAGTGAAAAACAAAATTCATGAAGTGTGCTGTACCTTTACTACACGTATCAAATATTTTTTTAAGAATATAACAACTATTGACATTTAGTTTTATTTAATAATTATTTATAATCTGTCTAAATTTAGCATACCTTTTTTAATGTTGCTCTTGTTAGTGCACTTAGGTATCTATATTAAAATTAGATATCCAATAAAAGTATGAAATAATAAACATAATATTTTCTTTATATCAACAAAATGGTCATAAAATAAGAGAATTCATATTGTAAAACAGGCAATCAATCTATCCATCGCATGTTGTAAAAGCAGATTTTATGTGAACACCAACGATATTCATAAAACTGGACGATCGAATGAGGGATCCACTCGCGAGATTTGTTATTTTCAAAATGGCGGACCGTTTAAATGTAAAAATCAACGTCGATGAATGCTAAAGTTGTGAAGATTAGAGCTTCACTTGTGAATACAAAGAAACACTGAGTACTTCACTAAATGGTTCGTTGTGAGTACATCAAAGAATAATATTTGTTAAATATAGACCGCGATGCGTCTGTATCGTTGAAAGAATTTATCAGAAGATACCCATACAAACCGTTGTATAAAAATTTACAATAAACACAATATTAATATACTGATAAAGATAACAGAATAAGCTGAAAGGTGAACAAATGCAAATATAAACATATAGATTTTGAAATATATTAGATAAAATTTAGTAGTATTTAATTGTAGAAGCCGAAAAATTAGGTCGTAAATGAGTATGGTACTTTGATCAGATCCATTAAAGTATAAAGAAATGTAAGTCAAACAATACGGCGTAGTCCCACGGGAATCGGCGGGAGAAACTATTACCAACCACGACCGAAATTGCATACAAAGATAATATCATCGATAAATCTTGATTAAATAATTAACGACTGCACGTTCGGCGCGGTGGCTGGGCCAATGGCTGCCGCGCAACGTGTTGCAGGTTCGATTCCTGCACGGAACAGTTCTTTGTGTGACCTACAGATTGTTGTTCCGGGTCTGGGTGCCATGTGTATGTGAACTTGTATATTTGTAAACGCACCCACGACACAGGAGAAATTCCTAGTGTGGGGCAACGTTCATTTTTAAAAAGTAAAAAAAATAACTTTATTAGGTAGTCAATATATTAAAAAAGGGTAATATTACATATTACGAAGAAATATTCCTAATATCACATAGCCCAGTGATACGGAACCTTCGGGGTATTGGCACAAAATTCGTTCTTGTATTGTTTATATTTTTGATATCCAGTCTATTAGAGGTGGAAAATAACTATCCAAGTGGACGTCTACTGGCTATAAAATATCAAGTTTTATGTACTATAGTACTATAGTAATCTCATTTGGCCATATATTCCACATTTTTTTTTTATTGTAAATATGGTAATTTTATTGGCACAAAAATGTGTAATAAAAGCATTTTAGTCCTAAAACGACGCGACGGATTTAAGTCTACAATTTACGTTGTGATTTCTATCTGATTAATGTATATATTGTATAGTGTATTCAGATATAATTGAAATTGTGATAAGTACGTGAACGGAAATACCTGGCAGTTGAAAGACTATCCAATAACTTTATTTATTTTTATTTAAACAAACTACCCCACACTTGAATTTTCTCCTGTGTCGTGGGTGCATTTACAAAGTCAAAGTATTTGTTATATTTACAAACATACAAGTTCACGTACACATTACACCCAGACCCGGAACAACAATCTGTGAATACTGGAACTCTTTGTGTAGAGTTATTCTATACGGAAATCGAACCCTAAACATGTTGTGCGGCTCTTAGTTTTAGTTTTAAATAAAATTAGCACAAAAATACGAAAAATGACGTACGAGGTATTTATAAAGCAGTAGGTGGATCTTAGGTTAAAAATGTAATTGTAATAATGATGAGATATAAAAATTGGGGTATTCCACGAAGCGCACCTAAACGAAGCGCACCCAGATGAAGTGCACCTAAAGTATTCCACTTAGCGCACCTGTAGGTGCGCTTAAAATATAATATTTAAAATAAATAATTACAGGTGCGCTAAGTGGAATACTTTAGGTGCGCTTCGTCTGGGTGCGCTTCGTTTAGGTGCGCTTCGTGGAATACCTCAAAAAATTACCTTTAACAATTTTCGGTACAAAATCAAACGTCCTGTCTTTTGCGCGGAGGTTGATGCCAGTTCCATCGATCCACACGTAACTAGCTAGGACAGCTTCACATGGGATCTCAAGATCCTCATACTTCCGCATAGCGGCCTTATTTAGCAAAATTGGTGTGGTATTCATTGTTATATCTAAAAGTAAAACAAGAAACTATCAATTCAATATACAAGCAATATAAGAAGTATACCAAGAAACATCAAAAAGTCATATGTAAACAAAGGTGAATATCGCATGGCAGGAAAATGGTAGGGACAAGAAAGTAATAAAGAATCATGTAAGTCGAGACAGTGAATTAATCCTTATTGTAGCAAAAACTTATGACAATACTAAGAAGAAAGTAGATAAGTAGTCAACATCCTTCCCAGAGAAGAATGTTACTTCAGAGATCTCTCCCTTTTAAGTCGTATTACGGATTTTTATACACCATCGAATAAAATTTCCTTCTTTAATGGTATTTTTATTTTTTATAAAACAGTTTTTCCAACTCCAAATTAATTAAAATCTGCCGAGCACCTTGGAACAATTGACGCTACTTAAATATAGACTGTTTTGTTAATGCAATAAGTAGCATTTTCAATTTTTAAGAGAAAAGTTTAACTAATATTTTTGGGGAAGTAGAAAATGGTAGGTTTATTTTAGCAACCGGAGCTACGTATAAAGGTAGGAATAACAACTGACCTTATAAATTGCAGACAATCCTCAAAATTTACCTTGGAGAACTGAGAACTGAATATAGTTCACTCATAATTTTGAAATTCCTGAAAATATTTTGATACCTACATATTAAGTTTATAATTATATAGAGCTTATTGAGTATACTATAAGATTTACTGATCTACTTTAATCTATTGAAATCTTAGAGCAATAAGCAAAAAAAGAAATTATAGACAAGTAGGTATATATCTAAACGGAATTTACAATATGCTCTGCTCTCCTAGGAAAACGAGTGTGTATGTTACCGAATCTAGAAACTGCCACAGCATAAGAAACTAATGCAAGAGTTACAATAAATAAGTGGACATACCAAACGAAAAATATTATGGCATACCAGCAATGAAACAATGAATTACTTTCACAAACCAATTTTGAACAAAATAAATATTACATAACTTTCAAAATGACATTAATGTAACAAATATACAAACCTTATTTTTAATGCCAGATTATTTTTAAATTTTATTCTAATTTATATACTTCCTGCCAGTATGAAGTCAATTGGAATATTACGTATGCAAACTTTTTGACATTGCAACGTACTATTTGTCACAAAAAGTTCATGGTCTCTATGTCAAAAATATTTTCACGCTTTGTTTAGAAATTATAGTGTAAGAAGTGTTTCCCAAAAATAGTATGAGTTGACTTAAAAATCATGAAAGCAGAAAAACTTCAGGACATGTTTTTGATACTTTGTTATATAATTGTACAAATTGCAGTGGAACCTGTCGTGAGCATTCTTTCGTACGAAAATAAAAATTTTCTTAAAATTAAACAAGATCCAACTACGTATCAGTTAGCATTATCATATAGAAATAAAAAACATGCTTCTGATAGACACTCAAACGATACAACTCCACGTGAAAATACTATGATGAATGCGTTTAGGACGTCACGCAACACGCCTGTAGGAACGAGTCGAAACTATAGCCAAAATAAAAACAATAATGGTCATAATAATGATAAGCCTATTTCTCAATACAAAAAGTGGCAAGTTGGACGAGTAAGTCGAAAACAGTATGAAATTATAAACATGCTGTGGAGAAAAACGAAGATATTCGTTGATGTGGAATCGACCACTTCCACCCATCTCCATAGACGTAGTAATGGGAGTGAAAGAATCTTAGACAGTGGTCCTGTCTTTCGTCCACCTCTCGTAAGACTTCCACCTCGGCCAAGCGTCTCATCTACAACGCCAAGCTTTATTGAATTCTATTATTTGGATGAATCAGATGATCGTTTGAAAGATTTTCCATCTAAAAAACTAGTTCAGATTCCAAGCCGTAATAGAGAACAGCAACTTAGAAATGAAAACCGTGAATTTGTTCTTGCAAATTCCCATTTGTTTTCCTTTCGCATTGACGATAACGCCTACAAACAGACGAAAACACACACGACCACTAGATTTACACAACCGACAAATAAAATAAGAAGACGCAAAACTAGAACCCATGATTCTTCTTTAACTGGGTTTGAGAGTCTTAATTCCTTAACACCTTCATATAAATTTGCGCGTCTGCAACGTCCACAACAACGTGTTAAGTCTGATAACTTGATAGCACCGAAAACTTCAAGAGAAATTAAAATGAATGAAGCAGAAAATACCTCAACTACAACTGTTGCAAACCCCTTAGTTACAATAAGCAATGGTACAATTACAAATGGGTTTGATAACGAGACATGTCCTGTAACCACAGAAGACGATATGACAGAAAGTGAAAGTTTAACATCTTCAAAAGATAAAAAATTACTAAATACAACCGCGGTGGAAGTGACAACAGCATATGACAAAATTAAATTTTTCGAAATGTATGACAGACACACATCCTTCCCGTATTATGATGAAAACGGAACATTAATTGACGTTGACAATATTGATATCTTGAAGAAGGGTAATGAAGTAAACATTAATGAACGAAAAACACTTTTAGAACACGTTGATCAAGATATTTCTAAAGAACATAGTCAGCCTCATAAGTCAAAACATTCTAAGAAACATATAGTTGAAACTTTCAAAAACGATGTCAAGCTCCAGAATGAGATCAATTCAATTCCAGTTCAGAACAAAACGATGAAACCTGAAATATTGAATGATTCAAATACAAACACTAATAACATATCGTCGGTAACAAAACAAGACATGAAACAAATGTTACTATCTCAATCAAAAGTTTCTGATTCACTCGAGTACAAAAAGAGCAAACATGTGGAGTGGACTCAGTACCCATTTGTTGCGGCTTATGTGTATGAGCCCTCACAGGTAAAGTAACAAACATCATAATAGATTTTCAATTGGTAGGTAAGTCACATCAAGTCTCGAAAGCGACGTATACACAACGATATAACAAGTACATTATTTAGTTATTGTTACCATGCTCTAATTATCGGTACTTCAGAAACCATTATATTATTTACTATTATTCAAAATATTGAAATCAATTTTAAACTTTCAGTTAGTAACAAACCGGAATCAATTTGCCGCAAATCGTAAACTTAATAAAACATTACCGACAGCCTGTCACGCACAAGTAACTAATGATAATACTCAAAATATCAGCCCATGAAAGATTTGATTTTACTTCTCAATTATTAAGAACTAAACGACGGAATATTAATGATTTTATGATAAGAATTTAGAGACTTCTTTTCTTGCTTTCTTGGAATCTCAAAATGGACTTCAAAGGTTGACTAGAAACTTATATAAAATAAGGAATTAAGGTAATTAAGGAATAGACGAGATTTTGAATTAAGCAAATTTATGTATACAGGTACACTGTGACGCTGCTGGTATCAGTCCTCATTGGTTGATCACATCTGGGTCATGTCTGTCGAGGCATCACAAGAATCCTGGTGGAGAAGGTCGGTCAGCCTTTGTGACGTATTGTGGAGATTCTTGGTGGACCCCAGAACGAGTTGCTTACGTCAAGTATAGCCTGGTGCACCCACGTTTTAATCCAAGGGATAAAACGCGCAGACATCTCTATAATATCGGTATTTTTCCTTTTACCTCCATAATAATGATTGTAGTAACTACCTCGTTGGCCGAATGGTCGCAAGTGCGACTGCTGGCTAAGAGGTTCGATTCCCCCGTAGGGCAAAGTATTATTGGGTTTTTAAAAAAATCTCAGTAGTAGCACAGAGTCTAGAATTATGTCCGGTATTTATAACAATAGACTCACCCCCTATTACATGGGATTCATAACATAAAATAATGAAAAGTGGATGTTACATTGTACAGTAGCATTAAGTATTGTAGTGCTCTGCCTACTTCTCCGGGAATAAATGGCGCAATGTTATGTTATGTTTGATCGTAGTATCTTTAATTTTAGGGTCATCATATCAATTTTTTGTTACCAACCTCGCAACTAGACCATACATCAAAATAGTCGTAAAAACTTTCACTTCACATTTATAAGGTTAACATTTGTCTTCCGTGGATGCCAGAAAGTGACAGAACTAAACCAATAACAAAATACTGACAGTCATTGCTTGTAGCAAAAAGTAATCTACGTCTGTATATTGGTACGGTACATATTACTTCTACTTGTCTATCTTATTTTAAGAAAAATACCAGAAAATATTCAGCTGCCTGTTTATCGAAGACATTCTTGGCAATAATAGGCAAGATTGATTGAATTTGTATTAATTTACCTCTACTTTCCATTATTTTCAAAATGTATTGCATTAAAAAATCTAATTAAATATTTATTAACTACCGTGAGACATACTAAATACTGAGAAAAGCTATACTAGATTTGAGCCACAAGGGGGCTGTTCCTCAAGAGCACGCTGCTCAATTAACGTGAGTAACCCGCGATTTTTAGGTAATTGTTTTTTTTATGTGATAAGCCGGTAAACCAGTCGACGGATCACCTGATGGTAAGCGATCGTCGTCGCCCATGGACACCTGGAACACCAGAGGCGTTACAAGTGCGATACTGGCCTTTTGGGATTAGCAATTTGAGAATAGTTGGGAACTCAGGGATTGGGAATGGTGGGAGGGGTAATTGGGTCTCCGGTAACCTCACTTACGTTGTTTCACGTCGGTCTTTTGTGAGGCCGTTAATGAATAATAATATAGATAGAGAAACTCACATAAAACAATCGCTAGTTAAGCATATAGTCCTCAAGTAAATATTGCAGGAGGACTGCTTGACAGGAGTCAAGCGCTGTATAATAAATAATATTAATTACTTACGCTGATGACAGGTAACATAATTAAATCGGGTTCCAAGTATAATCTACTTCATGATTGTGATTATGAAACATATAAATGATTCGTAGCACTGAACAATAAGACTTTTCCATTATTATAATACCTTAACAGAAAATCATAGATATATTTTAATATTTCTGTGTAGAAAATATATATCAAGTATATCAAATATTTTACTATTCCGAAACTAGAATAACGTTAGCATCACGTTATAATGTCATAGTTCGGAAAAAAAACCTAAATAATTAGGTATTATTAATTTCTCTATTGGTTAGGGATTTATACCTTTAACATGGTTCTTTTTTACGTAACATAATAATAATTATAACACGTCATAATTGTGCCGACAGTCGTATCTGTCAATGGCCTCGTTGCTAAAACCATCGACCAACACCTGATTAGGCAAGCGTTAGATAGTTGAGTTGAGTCAAGGGCCTGATGCAGAAAGCAGTGCTTCCAGACATAGCGCGTATTGTCCGGAAATTCCTCTCTCTGGAGCCGTGACCGGTAGTTTGGATTTCTCTCGATACTGTGGGACCACTGCTTTATTATGTTTTGAAATGTTTTTATTTATAATATTATATTTAAAAATAAATTAATGAAGTATGAAAATAAATAAAGAACTGGTAGCTTTGGATTAGACTACATTACCTAGGTGCAAAACCTTTACTTATAACTATGTCTACTTTTAGGTCTAATTCAAGTAATAACTTCAATGTCATCTGCGTGCAGCGCCTGGTCATCGATTTCTATGATGTCCCATCAATTCGTAGCTGATGACGAAGGATCTGTTGCTAATGCTATTGGGTGGGGTTTAGACAGGTATGGTTAAAGTTCGTAGAAATGTGTTACAACGCGGTTTTATTATTATATTCCTATTGTTTGAAGAATAAGAAACGGGGTAAATATTGTTTTACTACATCTAAAAGAAATAAGATCTTAATGTCTATTTAGGTACACTTATGAATAAGTATAAAAATAAATGACATTGAAAAATATAACAATGAAGAATTGCGTAAAGCTGTAACAGACAGAAAGAAAGACAATTACAGTTGAGCCTTTCTTGTTATTCCTGGATGGGATTTCAGATTCTTACAAATAAATCCTTCTTGGTTATTATAGTCTTAATTAAAGGTCGGAATAAGACATAGTATGTCTATGGCTTTATGGCCATAGTAGC